TTTTCATGCATGATTGTTTTTGGTAGGACATTGGCTAGCCTCCGAGTTAGTAGAAGTTTTGGGAGCCTCTTTCCCTTAGGGGAGGTGCTGCCAAAATTTCTACTAAAAGAGTTAGTCAAGTTTCGAAGATATCATCTAGGGTAAGATATAATTTAGTCTTTGGTGTCAGAAGGAATTCTAGAAGTCTTCCTTTTTAAAGGAAGTGTTGCCGAAATTTCTACTGAAACCAAAGAGTTAGTTTATTTTCATATATTTTCAGAGCCGCGAGTTTTTCTTTTTAGATTTGGTATAGTAAATATTCTTCAAACACACTTCCCTAAAAGTTTATTTTCATATATTTTCAGACCCGCGAGTTTTTCTTTTTTGATTTGGTATAATAAATATTCTTCGATCACACTTCCCTAAAGGAAGTGCTGCCGAAATTTTTGGGACTTTCACACTGTTACCGGACGCTACTATTAAGTAGCTTAGAGTGCAATACGGAGTTGAACTCCATTAACTCGACAGGCGATGCCTGCCTTGATTTTGTGTCGCAAATCATTACTACCTGCGAGTGTTCTTCGAAGTCTTGAGCTTTATCAACTTCTGCTGTCAGATTGATAGCAGGTCGGTTTGCGACTCAATTCCTACCCACCATGATACCCACGCCCAGATGTCTGTGACCCTGTAGGCGAAAGGCATTTCCGCATGAAAGTAACCCTATTCTTGGAACCTCTCTTGAATAGCCATGCAAAAGCTGTGAGAATCGGGGCAGGTGGGTATGCCTTTGCTGAGTGGGGGTCGGAAAGGGGCGTGTGGGACATGAATTTGGGAGTAAAAGGATTGACCACGTTTTGTGGCATGTGCGTGTGGATTTTCATTGGGCTTCATGTGTGTGCAGGTATGTATGGGAGCGAGGACTCGCTCTTGGATTGAGGGTGATATGGATGGATGAGTGCAAGGTGGGAGTGACAAGGTTCAACTATGGCTGTGAGAACGACTCTCCCTGATTTCCTTCAAGACTCCTCCGTTTTTTTTATTTTTTTTTCTCCTGCCGCACGCATTTAGTGAACAAGCAGGAGTAGTCGAGCGCAAGGCTTAGCGCTCGACCTTCGATCGAACTGAGACTTAGTTTGGGTATGGCGAATTGCTCGCCAACGCGTGACTATTCGTATTTTTTTATGCAGAGGAAGAATGAGCGAACCCCGTCTTAAAGGGGTTGTACTTTTTAAATTATTGGATGGACGTTGGTCCCGAGGCTGAAATTCGAGGTCCTTGTCCAAGACACCCCAGACTCTGGTCCAACACAAAACGGGTTCCCCTATGAGTTGGACCTACGCCCCTTGCATATCGTCTCCCATTGCCTAAAAGACAGGGGTGCTGCAAGGGTCGAACGACTTATCCTTCAACCATTCATCATGAAGGAGGGTTCCTTCATGATATTTCGCTTTCGACACTTGAGTGTCGTACACATCCCTGGAACCCATGAGAGGTTGTGCAGATGTGTGTAACGCATGAAGCGTCGCCATGATAGAAGGTAAAGTGACTAGATATGACTAAGCGTTATGCTTCCCTTAGCGGTTGCATTCTTTTTATGCGACTCTGCACGGGCCTCGCTCAGACACATTAGCTTTTTGAGTTATGGGTTAGGACGTATGAAAAAGGGACTAGGCTTATTTGTTTGTCTGAGTTAGTTTGTTTTGTTGCATTTTGCGTGGTTGAGTTAGGATGTCCTAGCCGACTGACGCTGAATCGCACGTGGGAGATCAGCGCCCCAGCGTGACGGTTCACATATGGGTCCGAGCTAGGCGTGGACCGCGCGTAACCCCTATGCTATAGCATACGAGAAACGCCCTCGGCTGGGCCACCTCCGCGATTGCACGTAAAAGCTTTCGCGTGTGGCTCAGTAGGTCGGCGGGGATACACCCACCCAAGGGATGGTGACAACTCCCACGGGTGGAGGTAGGTTGTACCCTCGTGAGACCCTATCCTATCATAGGGACTCGATGGAGGTATAGATGACGCACTCGACAGGAGCGGCTCCGCCGCTTCCCTTTTCGTGAAGCGACTTGCGAATTCTACCAATCGTGCGTGATGCGGCTGGGAAGGTCCCCCCAGCGGGGACCGTGCGCTCGACACCGCCCCTTACTGAAACGGGCAGCCAAGTGTCTCGTTTTTACTCATGGTGGGCTCTGCTAATCAGACCCCCCCCAAAAAAAAACAACAAAATAAAAAACAAAAGAAAACCTAACCAAAAAAGAAAAGGAGTAGTGTAAAACAAATAACCGAACCTACGGGGTCGCTGGCCCGCAAACCCAAGCGCTGGCTGCGTCCCATCTAAACAAGGCGCGTACCAATTGCATACCCGCTTAGCATGGTTTGCTGAAGTGCCGCGAACTGGGCCGTCAAATAATGACCAACTCTACAGCCCATAAACTACATGTAACGTCATAGACGTCTCATCCAAGCGGCCAAAGCTAAACCAAGCCAACTGTTACGACAACCCATCTTGGCGATGGTCGGTCCAAATATTGATGTGCGCATGCTCTCTCCAAGCGCGTGGCAAGCCTAACCAACTGCGGTCACCGCACATGTGCTGCATGGAATGGCGGACTAGCTTGCCGACTGCCAACGTCAACGACTATCCCACTACCTACCACGCGACGCAATAATCCCTGCCCACACTAACTCACACCCTACTCATGCTTGCTCTGCCACGGCTAAGGCTGTCAAGGTGTGCGTTCAGACAACACCTGGCAGGTCAATGCGTCTCACATCGTCACAGCCGCACCCTGTGTGACCTAAGGGTATTCGCAACGACAACGTGGAGACTCAAAAGTCAAGGAGAGAGCCACGCGACTGCGGCCCTCTGATTCCGACTTTGAACTCTGTGAGACACGCCGCCGGACACTCGTTCATAGCCGGGACCCGACATACACACCTGCACCATTTCGACCAGGGAAAACACACCGCAGAGCAGGGAGTGATGTTCAACGATATTTTTTGAGTTAGACAGACGTTGATTGCCCGCCCTTTTGTACCTCGCCCTTGTTCCTCAACCATAACCAGAACTGCACATGAGATTCCTGTTCCGAACTGGGACTCCACACTCACTTTTTCCTAAAATCCTTGGCACACCCCCGTTGCATGCTTTTCGGGCTCTTTCTGCATTTTAGTCCACTCCGTGACGGAAAGCAGTGTAGGGCGTGAAGTTGAAAAGAAGAAGAAGAAGAAGAGAGAGAGAGAGAGAGAGAGAGAGAGAGAGAGAGAGAGAGAGAGAGAGAGAGAGAGAGAGAGAGAGAGAGAGAGAG